GCCACTCGGCCGGCCCTAGGTTATATTTTTATACTATGAGAAGAAGGATAAGGGAATCAGCCAGGGATGGGGGTGGAAAAAAGAGGGAAAAAGCAGCAGTTGCTAAAATGACTGAGAAGTGACGTTATGGGAGAGAGCCTGCCTCCATGAGCAGTGGCATTTGGTGGAGGAGCAAAGCCGCTGCCAAACTGTCACAACAGGGAAAGAGCTGGGGAGGGAATACCCTAGCCTCTCTCTTCCCCACCGTCCAGTCTCTTGCCTCCTAGTGGCCGAACCCATCCAGGCCAGAGAACCAGCAAGCTTAGTTCAAGAAATTCTTAGAGATCACCCTCTTATCAGGGCAGAGAAGGGTCAGAGTCAGTCTGGAGAGGAAATGAAGCGTAGCCAGCACAACTTGTTCACATAGGCTTCGATAAAATCCCAAGACTTGATCGGAAATGCTAAGCTGTCTTACACCCCATTCCTATCTGTTCCCCGATTTTATTACAGGCATTAGCCCTTATGGAAGAATTCCGAGGCATAGACCGAGACGTGGAAGGATCTGCCAAGCAGTGGAGGAAGTGGGTAGAATCCGAGTGTCCAGAAAAAGAAAAGCTGCCGCAAGAATGGAAGAAGAAAAGTGTAATACAGAAGCTGATTCTTTTGAGAGCAATGCGCCCTGACAGAATGACATATGCTCTCAGGTAGGGCGGTCAGCATTTTTCAGAAACGCAAGTTAGCCTGGAAAAAACTTAGTCCTAGGGCCTAGGAGAATCTGGTGGAGGCATTGACGGTCCATATTGATGAGAAGTGGTTCTCCTGAAATTTTGCTCTTGTGATCGCTACTGTTGTTAAAATTTGCTAAACGCTAAACAGTGTGCTAGTCTATAGGCAGACTCAGGACATCCTCCCTGAACAGCTTAATTCTGAAATCTGCAGGGGAGACAGGGAACCGAAGGAAATAGTCTAGGAAGAGAGATGACTGTCGGCGGAGTTCAGAGGCCAGGACCATGCATTATCTGAGTGTAATTTTCATTGCTTTTATTCAGTGGTGGCATTTTGGCTCCAAAGATTTTGCATGTCGAACAAAAATGAATTCCTTTCATGGAGACACTCATCGTCCCATAACTTTACAACCAATGCAATTTAAAAGCAGAAAGCCCCCGTCTACCTCTTGGATCGCGTGTCCTTTTTCCTTGCCCTTTTGGCTTCTAAATGGTAATATACTGCTTAATTCACACAAGTGGCGTTCTAATTTGAATTCACCAACCAAAGCGTTCTCGACTTCCTTCCCTATCATGCTCCGCTTTCTTCAATAGTATTCACGTGCCCCTGGTTTTTTTTTCCTTTGCTTTGTCTGGCTCAGCCCTTTGCAGACGCCTCTGTGGAACCGTACTTTACAAGTTAATTCTGCTTAGTACTGCTTACTTTCTGCTAAATCTGGAGCCGATGGAAAACAACCCCTGCTTAATTGAGCTTTCCTGTGTTAGAAACACCCCCCCAAAAAGCATTTGTATATTCATGAGAAGCCCAGCAGGCTGGAAAATTGCACTGTGGCAAATCTAATGAACTGTAAATAAGTAATAGTGGGGCTGTCAGGGGGTTTGGGGGATACAAAGCCGTATGCAGGCAGCTGATGGTACTTGGGGGAGTGTCAGCAGCCCCCCCCCCCAAATAGCATATAGGTGTCTGATTTTCAAATTTTCTAAAGCAGGGAGGGATTTCACTGAGACTGCTGCATAAATCTAATTGGACTCTTATTGTCATACAAAACATCCCACATGAAAAACATGGCCTGTTTCCTTCCTGTGCCTGTGGTTGAAGCTGGTCCAAGTTGTGACACTTTGCAAGGTCAGAAGGCCTGAGCATGCCTTCTGCATTCTTCTTTCGTATAGGAATTTCGTGGAGGAAAAACTGGGTGCAAAGTATGTGGAGAGGACCAGGTTGGACTTGGCTAAAGCATTTGAAGAAAGCAGCCCTGCCATCCCGGTGTTCTTCATCTTGTCTCCTGGGGTCGATGCCCTCAAAGACCTGGAGACCCTTGGTGAGTGGCCAGGAGGCTGGCTAGGCTGCTCTCCCACCTCCCTTCTCACCCAACACCCACCCACCCTTCCTTTCAGTTCACAGTTATCTTAGTTTCTTTTCTCTTTTTTTTTTTTCCTCCCCATTTGTTGAAGATGGAGTGTATGGAAAATGTAAGGCTAATAACATTGTAGTCTGAAGAAATGTTCAAATGGCACATTCCTCTGGTTGGCATAATGCAAGTTTCTTTTGTACTGTTTTCCACCTTTTGACTCTCTGAGGGCCAGAGGGCAATTTTCTCCATGCTCGCGTAATCTTATGCCCCCTGTGACTAAATAATGGTCATTAGAGCCAGTCTATTTGATTGTACCAGGCACTGTCGCTTTGTGCTTTGGATTACTATTCCCCACGGCCTGCGCCGAGAATACCAGGTTAATAGAGCTGTGACCTGACTGGGCTTGATTCAAGTGCGGCCTCACGAGGTGAGAGGCTCCTGCATTTTCTCAATGTGCCGCTCCCTTCAAAAAACGGATGTGATATCTACCACATGTTGCTCCTTTTTATGAGGGAAATGCTTTGCTACTCCTGCAAGAGTTTATAAAGCTCAATAACAATGCTTGCCATCTATCAAAATGTCAAAAGCATCATTACCATAAAACCAGAGGAAGTGATTACCACCGGCTTTGCTAATGCTTTGCAAAGCAGGCAGCTGGGGAGAGCTCAAAATGCTGCTTGTTGAAACCTCCAGGTTTCCTTTGGATGCTTCAGGAACCGGACCTAGCAGGTAGCAGTGGTGACCACAGGTGGACCACAGAATTCCAGACTCCTCACCTCTCTCTGATTCATTTTCCCTTTCCCTGTGTTGTATCCTCCCACAGGCAAAAGGCTTGGGTTTACAATTGACTCGGGAAAATTCCACAATGTGTCTTTAGGACAAGGTCAGGAGGCTGTGGCAGAGATGGCATTGGAGAAGGCTTCCAAAGAAGGACACTGGGTCATACTCCAGGTGAGTGTTACGTTTTCACGGAAAACACTGGGAATGAACTCAAGGAGCTGCCCAGCCCAACAAGAATGATCCTGTCACACAAAACATGGTGATTTGGAGAGTCCTAGGGTATTCTCAGCAGTAACAACAGCTCCAAAGGTGACAAGGGGCTCTGCTGACAAGGATGGCATCATCTTTTGAGGGATTTTCTAAATACTGTGCTTTCAAATGGAAAACATTAGAGGGAGCCCCATCATTCTCCTGCCAGAGATAGCTGGAATACTCCAATAGGGCTTGAAGACAAACAGGCTTGTCCAGATTGCCAACCCCAATGTTATAATAGCTCTCATCTGCATCTTGCCTTAAGTTAAAGTTCACAGTGTTTGTCTGGTTCCTTTATTGCTTTCTGTTTTATAATATATTCCATATATGAGTGAAGTCATGTGGTTCTTGACTTTTTCTGTCTGACTTATTTTGCTTAGCACAATAATCTCAAGATCCATCCATGTTGTCGCAAATGGCAGTATTTTACCTTTTCTTATGGCCGAGTAAAATCCCATTGTATACATGTACCATATCTTCTTTATCCAATCATCTATCAAAGGACACTTTGGTTGTTTCCATGTCTTGGCCACTGTAAATAATGCTGCAGTGAACATCAGGTTGCATATATCTTTACAGATAAATGTTTTCAGATTTTTGGGGTAGATACCCAGGAGATGGATTGCTGGGTCATATGGTAATTCTTAATTTTTTAGGAACTTCCATACTGTTTTCCATAGCTGCTGTACCATCCCTCACATCCTTTTGAGTCCATATTCTAAAGAGTCAGAGTTTGAGTAGAGGAGGTATCCATCAGAAATAACAAAGTGGGTAGTCTGGTACATTTCTGGCCTTTAGTTTTTATACTTGATCAAATTAACTCATTTACTTCTCAGTAATTGAGTTTGAACTATAACAAAGAAAAGTATCATGCAACTCAGAAGCGACTGGTTGGTGTTGGAAGTAGGTAAGTGTATTGGAAGGGGATTTTGGTTTACGAAGACTACCTGTGGTAATTTGGAGCATGTAACGTGTTTAGTGTTCAGTTCTATTTTGTTTTGTTTCCCTGATATGACAATAAAGGTAAATTTGAATCATAGTTCTCTGAGTTTGCAACACATTCATGTACAGGAACATATTCTAATCCTATAATTTAAGTAATATATTTGAGTTTCACAGGAATTATAAGCCATACTATCTTTCAGAATGTCCATTTGGTAGCCAAGTGGCTAGGATCCTTGGAGAAACTCCTTGAAAGATTCAGCCAAGGAAGCCACAGAGATTACAGGGTTTTCATGAGTGCTGAGACTGCACCTACACCAAGTGAACATATCATCCCTCAAGGAATCCTGGAAAATTCCATTAAGATCACTAATGAACCCCCCACTGGAATGCTGGCCAATTTACATGCTGCTCTCTACAACTTCGATCAGGTGAGAAAGCTAAAGGAGTCTGGTCTGATACTCAAGTCAGGTTCTTCTCACAAGACTGGGGCCGTCACGTGCTCATACGTCTCACGTACAGGCATAAAGTAAAATCTTGAGGTCCACGTGTATGTGTGTGGTGTGTGTTTTAATCTCTTGAAAAGGTTGCCCCTGTCATTCCCTATTCCAGTGACTAGAAAATATATTTCAGTTTCACCCTAAAACTACAGCCCCATGTTTAAGGAGAATGAACTTTGAGGAGCATGCTTATTGAAGACAAATCTGGCAGATTACTGTCTCTTACCCCAGAAAGAGGAAAAGCCGGTGTTACTCTTGTTGATATTGTTGAGGGTGATGACAATAGTGACGTAGGAAGAGTTTCAGTATAATAGTTAATATTTTAAATCCTGTTTTGATATTAGTAAATTTGATATTAGTAAATTTAAAACCCCTTTTTTTCAGATTATATCCATACTACCTTCTTAATTGTATTTTCATTTCTTTCCAACATGAAAGAGAAGTAAATTAATATGTATTAATTTGTATCATTACCATTATTCTCCTTGTCCAAATTATCACATCTGTGTGTCTCATGATCAAGTCATTCAGTTTCCTTTGTTGCTATTTCTTAGTTCCCAATCCTTCCTCTGTTCTCGCAGAAATCCTTGGTAAACAGAATTCTTATTAGAAATAGAATGAGCCCTAAAGAGGAAATGCATATGATTTGGTGATAAATATTCAGCCTTGTTAGAAATCTTATTCTCTATGAAGGATGCCAACATGCTTAAATTTTCTCTACTACCTTCTGGGCCAGTATTATGAGGGAATTATAATAATTATGAAGGAATTATAATAATTGGCTACCTAAGAATATAGTTTTGAAGAATACAGTTAATTACTTAATTAAATAATTGAATAATTTGTAGCCTATATACACACAGTGGACTGTGTAAACAGAAGGCACTCAAAAAAATCCGGTTAAATTGTTTTGCATATGCTTTTTTGTGAACTATAGCAGATATGTATTTGTATTTTTGATCATCCTTCAATTTATAATTTCTGACCATTGATGACAGTCTCAAGCTCTTTCTCCAAGTAAGTACAAAAGAGGGGAATGCACATCAAAAAATGTGTTTCATATAATCATTGAGATAAATAGATTCCCAAAGCCTATGCTCAAATTCCTTCCCCAGTTAAAAACAACCTATTCTAGTTTACTCATGAAAGTATCAGTTCTTTTCATTTCTATATGGAAAGCCACTTTTATTAATCAAAGGTTGCATTTATGGTAAAGGATCTTAAAACTTCAAGGGGGAATATTATTTTTTATCTAGTGGGAAGGATCCCCTGAAGTATTTAAATTTGATCGTAAGTAGCAAAAGCAAAGATAATCAAAGTGATTCACTAAATAAACTTCCCATCAAACCTATTTTAGCCAAAACCAAATAAACAAATAGAAACTCTAAAAAAAAAATCTAAAATTTTTCAGAGCCTTTTATGAATGCTGACCTGTCATTATGTTAGAAAGCAAAATGTGGCTTTATTCAGGTTGTGTTAATTCACAGGTATTAGCCTGTGCTCCCTGCCTATCTGTGAATTGGTTCCCAGCACCCTTTTGTCAGTTAGAATTATGATTGGCTACTTGTGAAAGAAGTGTAAAACAATAGTGACTTAAGCAAGGTTAAAAAGTATTCCTGCCATATGAGATTTCTGTGGGTAGGTCACTCAGAGCTCACATGTGTCACCACAAAGCTGTCAACCCAGTTTCTTCATGGTTTACCATTCCATCATTTCTAGGATGGGCTTGCCATGGTCTCAGGTGGTTGTAAGAGTTGCAGCTTCCATATGAAAAAAGGAACAAAGAAGATGACAAAGAGCACATGACTGCTTTCTTTTAAAGACATTTCCTATAAGTTTATATACAATACTTCTTTCATCCCATTAGTCAAACTTAGTCACATTGCATTGCCTCACTACAAGAAAGGCTGGGAAAGTAAATTTATCTTGGGCAGCCATATGCCCAGCTAAAAGTCATCAAGAAGACATTTTAGGACAGGCAATTTTAGTGGTCTCTATCACAGACCTTCTCTTTTCTCAAGTGTCCTTGTATCATCCGGGGTGTTCTATGTTGTTGCCAAGGCACTACCTTGATGAAGCCTGTGGCATGGACAGAAGATGATGAATGCCATCTACCTTGGTACTTATTTGGGCTAGGGAAATGAGTCCCAGTCACTTCTGTTGCCCTTCTCAGATGAGAAAATCACCCAAGGGATCTAGACAAGTTAGTAGTTCTGTTGGCGTGTTTTCGTTTTGCATGCTTTAATTTTCAAATCCAACTAAATCTGTATTTCTAATCTTCCCTCAAGTCAGAATTTACCTCCAAACTTTGACACTTGTCTTTATAAGAACAAAGCTCATTTAATATTTGTCTTTTATTACCTTGAGCATTCCAGAATTTTTATGTAAATATGATCATTAAGTGACCACGATGTAAAGAACCATTGTAGGGTATTGCCTACCTATGCTGCTTTCAGCTCGATTGGATCCGCAGCTTGAAGATGTCATAAAGGAGTACTGTTTGGGCTTTTTTCATACCCAGATACCAGATTTTTAAAGTAAGAATATAGATTTTCTGTAACATTTGCAGCAGAAACAAATAATTGGTAATTGTGCACGTTACCTTGGCATCAGCATCATTATGTGCATGCTGATACCTGTTCCCTGTCCACAGTGCTGTTTGTATATTTTTTTATATTTATTTGCACATAGCTTGGTTTATAAAAATACAGCTGACATGAAATGTGGGATATTAGGTAGACTCATACCTTTTCTTAGGAAGGCCTGAATCACATTTTCTTTCAATGACATTTATATTATCAGAAAGGACATAATGAAATGGGCATTGATTTGTGATTTTTTTTTTTTTAGAACTGAGGATAAAACTAAGTCAGTTATATGAAATATAGATGGAATTAATGTACTCAGTTTCATAGTACCTTTGGTTTTTCTAAGGGAGGTGTTAGGTGAGTTGTTAGGTCATAATTCCTAAATAAAATTTGATACTTCTACTTGGTCTCCTAGAACTTTTTTACATTTAAAAGTAATATATTTTTATAGTCTTCAAGATTAATTTGTTATATGGTTTCTCTTTTCTTCCTTCACAAGCTTGCCTTTTATTGATGTTTGTGGGAAAGTTTTTTGGGTTTTTTGGAAAATTTTATTGAAAAGTTATTTTTAGTGATTGTTTATTTTAAAACCCCATTAATTACCTAAAAATGGCCTAGTGAATTAGTTGGGTTTGCATTGTATGTGGCCTGGCCAATCCTAGAACTATATTTGGTGGTAGCCCTGGTGACACTGATAGAGAAAGAAACTAAAAAGCTCTTCTGGTCTCAGACCAAGAGAATAAATCTAGTCTTGGTTTGAACTTTTACCAGAAGTCTCCCGGGAGACCAGATTTGAACTCCTACCCAAAAGATGCTACTTATACTTTGTAGGTGGGCCAAGCTGTCAGATCCATTTTAAATGTAGACTGGCTGGCTGTACTTTGGCCATTTTAAAGGACAAGGCAGGAAGGTGCAGATTTGGCCATATCTTCTGCTGCTGCCCAACCTCAGGTGAAGGAGAAGGCCTCGACTTTTCCTGGTTTGCCTCCCAGAACTGTCTAATCTGAGGATGGTTAAAGTGCTGTCTTCAAGCCATAGATGGGTTGCTTGTTTTTTACTGTTTAACTTCATGGCTGTTAGGGCCATAACCATATCGATGTAGCATACCAGGACTGACCTTCCCTCTGCGTTTTCAAATAAATCTTACAGATCTAGTCTCTAGGGCATCTATTTTCCAATCTTCCATATGCCATTCTGTCATCTCAACAATGACTTACTTCTAGTTCATTGGAAGGAAGGAAACCATTTGTCATGGTGACTGTATTAGTTAAGGGTCAGCACAAAATGATAGTGTTTCAAACTAGGTAATTTCTCTCACACATAATTGGCAGCTCTGTTCCATGAGATCAGCCACAATGCCAACCTGACATGTGCCTCTACCATACCTAACTGTGGCTTCCATGGTTGTCCACTTGTCATCATTTCTAGCCTACAGAAAAGGGAAAAGAGTGACAACCAGGGCAAGCAATGTCCTTTTAAGTAAATGACTAAGTTAGACACATCACTTCTCAAATTCTTCCAGCAAAAACGTGGTTATATGGCACATCTGGCTTCAAGGGTGGCTGGGAAATTGTCTTTTGATGGGTGACCATGTGCCCAGATAATCTTCATTACCATCAAACCAGGGATAGTAGCGAACTGGAGTTGACTAGTATTCTGCCACAGTGATGAAACTAAGACGATGCCCTTTTGTCATCCAGATTTTACAAGGAAAATTTGCAGAAGGAAATGATGTCAAGCGGTATTACTGCTGGTCAAAAGGAATTGTCTCCTTTTCTAGTGAACTTAGAAGCATTCAGAAGAATAACTAAAGCAAAATGAACGCGTTCCTCTTAAATCAACAGACTGTCAAATGCTAAATAGTCTCCTGTTAAGCTCTCGTAAGATAGGCAGCCATGCTGAAAACGGCATGTTACTTCTCTCCTAGATCTCCCTCAAAGTCCTTTACAAGATTATTGAAAACTCAGACCCTTGCCCTTGGAAACCATACAGATGGATAATCAAACATTTTTCTTTTCTTCTAGGATACACTTGAAGTGTGCTCCAAGGAGCAGGAGTTTAAAAGCATCCTCTTTGCTCTGTGCTATTTCCATGCCTGTGTTGCCGGGAGACTGAGGTTTGGCCCCCAGGGCTGGAGCCGCCGCTATCCTTTCAATCCTGGAGACCTCACCATTTGTGCCAATGTCCTCTACAACTACTTAGAGGCAAACCCTAACGTAAGTGCCAGTGGTCAGATAACCTCTTCTCAAGGAGTAGACGGAGTTTCTCAGCCTTTGGGCACTATCAAAATGGACCCTAATTTCTCTTTTGAAACCATTATTGAAATGGCTGATGCTATATATGCATCTTCTGCCGAGTGGAGTGTGAAAATAAACCAATCGAAGGTTTTCTAGCAGTGGATGCTCGAACTTCGTATGATAGGTCAAACCAGTTCAACATCAGTAGCTTAGTGCAAAAAAAAAAAAAAATGTCCTTCATTATGTTAACAAAAACAGTGGTTTACATGTGCATATATGCCAGATTCATTAGGCAGGTAATGAAGCATTTGCACAAATGTAATTACATACAGCAATTCTGACAGTTCATAACACTGCATTAATAATCACTACAATTAGTCCTGATGATGGAAGCAATTTGCAGCACGTCACAAGTATAAATAATGGTGCATTTCCTGCATGTGTCATTATTATATATTAAGGATGCCACCTTGTTGTGACTTTCTCAGTAATGTTCCCCTTGATTTGAAGTTAAAGGTAGATGAATGATTTTATTTCGTAGCTAAAATGTATTTTTACAGATGGGAAAGGCAATGCTTCATCAAGAACATTTTTGTAAACACTTATAAACTCAGTGATTGGATTTCCAAAAGGAACCATTTGTAAGGATTTTCTGGCTTAGTCCTCATAAGGGGAACTTTTTCTATTTAAGTTAAATTTGAGATATATTTGCCAAAACCAACCAGGTGTTATCTCTAGGCCACGCTTTCTACAAAAAGCCTTTAAAACAACTCATTCATGTTTCTATGGATATGGGCTGTTTTATGTTCTTTTGGTAAACGTTAAAATTTTTTGTTTCGTTTGAATATTTTTTTATTTTTAATTATAGTTGATATACATTGTTATGTTAATTTTAGGTATACAACATAGTAATTAGACATTTATATAACTTACGAAGTGATCACTTGATGAATCTAGTATCCATCTGACACTATACATAGTTATTACAATGTTATTGACTATATTCCTTATGCTTTACTTTCCATCCCCATGACTACTGTGTAACAACCAGTTTGCACCTCTTAATTCCGTCCCTTTTCTCACCCATCCCCCTCAACACCCCTCCCATCTGGCAACCATAAAAATGTTCTCTATGTGTGTTAGTTTGTTTCTGTTTTATTTGTTTATTTTGTTGTTTTGGGTTTTTTTTAGATTCCACAAATAAGTGAAATCATATGGCATTTGTCTTTCTCTGACTTACTTCACTTAGCATAATACCCTCTAGGTCCATCCATATTGTTGTAGATGGCAAGATTTCATACCTTTTTATGCCTGAGTAATATTCCATTGTATATCTGTGCCACTTCTTTATCCATTCATCTATTGATGGACACTTAGGTTGCTTCCATATCTTGCCTATTGTAAATAATGTGACAACGAACATATGGATGTATAAGCCCTTTCACATTAGTGTTTTGGGTTTCTTCAGATAAATACCCAAAAATAGAATTACTGAGTCCTTCCTTGTCTCATTATAGCCTTTGTTTTAAAGTCTATTTTGTCTGGTATAAGTGTTGCTACCACAGCTTGTTTGTTTGTTTGTTTGTTTTCATTTTTATGAAAGATTTTTTTCTAACCCTTTACTTTTCAGTCTGTGTGTGTGTGTGTTTTTTTTTTAAGATTTTTATTGGGGAATTGGGGAAGGGGAACAGACAAGTTGCTGTCCTTTTGTTCTTCAGTCTAGTTGTGGAGGACGTTGCTTCACTGGCCTAAGTTGGCACCATCATTGCGCTCTTCCCGGGTGAGGCAGATCAGTCGCCGGCTTCTGGATGACCACTCACACTGGCTGCTGGCCGCTCAGGCTGGCCGCTGGCTACACACGGTAGCCCATGGCAACCCACTGCCTCAGGGGCTGCAGCCTACGCCGTCACCAGCGACTCAGGGCAGCCCAGCTCCAGGTTGAGATGTTGTTCAGCATCTTAGCTGTAGAGGGCAGTGTCACTGGTCCTCATATGTGGGATCCGAACCGGGGCCCTCTGGCATCCCAAGCCAGCTCTTAACCATCGCGACACTCGGTCGGCCCTGTGTGTGTCTTTCAATATGAAGTGGGTCTCTTGTAGGCAGCACATGTAAAGGTCTTGTTTTCTTATTCATTCAGCCACCCTGTGTTTTGGATTGGAGCATTTAATCCATTTACATTTAAAGTAACTATTGATAGATATGCAGTTATTGCCATTTTATTATTGATATTTCTGATTTTTTTTCTTATTATTCCTAAAGAAGTCCCTTCAATATTTCTTGTAATACTGGTTTGATGGTGATGAACTCCTTTAGCTTTTTGTTGTCTGGAAAGCTCTTAATCTGTCCTTTGATTCAAAATGATAGCTTTGCTGGATAGCATAATCTTGGTTGTGGGTCCTTACTTTTCATCACTTTGAGTATTTCATGCCAATCCCTTCTGACCTACAAAGTTTCTGTTGAGAAATCAGCTGGAAGTCTTATGGGAGCTCCCAGCTTTTCTCTTGCTGCTCTTAAGATTCTTTCTTTGTCTTTAACCTTTGGCATTTTAATTATGATGTGTCTCGATCTGGGCCTCTTAGGTTCATCTTGCTTGGGACTGTTTGCACTTCCTGGGCTTGTATGTCTGTTTCCTTTGCCAGGTTTGGGAAGTTTTCAGTCATTATTTCTTCAAATAGGTTTTCAATTCCTTGCTCTTTTTTCCTTCTGGTACCTCTATGATGTGAATGTTGGTATGCTTGATGTTGTCCCAGAGGCCCCTTAAACTATCCTCATTTTTTTTCTTTTTTTTTTTTTCTTTTTGCTGCTCTGATTGGGTGTTTCCAGCTACTTTATTTTCCAAATCACTGATTTGATCCTCTATTTCATCTCATTTACTGTTGATTCCCTCTAATGTATTCTTCATTTCAGTTATTGTATTCTTCATTTCTGACTGGTTGTTTTTCACATTTTCTATCTCCATTTTTATGTTTCCTATCCCTTTGTTGATGCTCTCACTAAGATCATTGAGCATCCTTATAACCAGTGTTTTGAACTGTGTATCTGGTAGATTACTTGTCTACATTTTGTTTAGTTCTTTTTTTGGAGTTTTGTTCTCTTCTTTCATTTGGGACATGTTTTTTTGTCTCCTCATGTTGGCTAACTTCCTGTTTTTTTCCTACGTGTTAGGTAAAGTTGCTACGTCTTCCAGTCTTAGTAGAGTGGTCTTATGTAGTAGGTGACCTGTGAGGCCCAGTGGCGCCGTCTCCCTGGTCACCTGAGCTGGGTGCTCCAGGTGTGTCCCTTGCGTTTGATGTGTGTGGCCTCCTGTTGTAGTTGAGCCTTGATTGCTGTTGGCACGTCAGTGGGAGGGATTGACCCTCAGGCTGATTCATTGTGAGGACTGGCCGTGACTACAGTGTAGAAAGTGTTGTGCAGGGGCAGACCTTACAGAGCAGGATTCGGTTTAGCAGGGTTCTGGTGCCTACCCAGTCTACCTCTTGAGTGTGTCACTTGTGGAGGTGGTTGCCTGGTGTTCTGGTGTGGTCTGAAGCTGGTCACAGGTTGTATTGGTTCTGGGCCCTCTTGGGAGGGTCTCTGATGCAGGCCAAGGTCAGCCGATGTCTGTGCCCTGCCAAGGGCCACTTGATATGAGCTACAAAATGATTTCCAAATGGTTACTACTTGTGCTGACCTTGGGGCTGCTTAGCAAGAGGTTAGGGGCATGTTGAGACCAGATGCTGATTTTTGGGAGTTTTTGGACCTGTGAGAAATTTTAGAAAAGCTGGCAATGTGAGCCAAGACAGGCCATTTGTATGGAAAAGGCACTGGAATGGGCTTGAATGGGCCCAAAAGTTGGGGGGGGGGGTAGGGTCTCAGGAAATCACCAGGGCGGGGCAAATGGAGTTAGGCAGGTTGATGGAGAATCAGATACGGTGCCTCCATGCGTGTGCAGGTCGGGTGGGAACAGGGTTCAATAAAGAAACAATGGATTTTGCCAGCACTTTTGTTTGGGAGAAAGCTGCCCCTCCAGACAATTCTATTCCTCCCTGTATGTCACTGGTGCCTTTCAAGCTGCTGCTCCAGCACAGGGCTCAGAGCGAACGAGTCCATCAGTAACTGGGCCCTTTAGGAGGAATGCCTGGGACTCCAGCCACCCTCCGTCTCACTCAGCCACAATATCCACTGGTTCTCACAGCCAGAAGTTAAGGGGACTTCTCTTCCAGGCACTGGAATCCTGGGTTGGGAAGCCTGGTATGGGGCCAGGACCCTTCAATCCTCAGTGGAGACTGGAGACCTCTGCTGCTGAGATATCCTTCCCCATTTTTAACCACCACACGTGGATATGGGGTCAGCCCACTCTTGTCTCCACCCTTCCTGTCAGTCTCAACATGGCTGCTTCTGTATACCCTTAGTTATAGGACTGCTGTTTAGCTGGACTTCAGAGAGTTCTCAGTGATGGTTGTTTCGTAGCTTAGTTGTAATTTTGATTGGACTTGGGAGGAGGCAATCACAGCATTTACCTACTCTGCCATTTTAGCCAGAAGCCCCCATTGTTACAATTTTGTTATCAGAGTTTTCTCAAGCTGCAAAGGTGATTTGGCTGCTATCAGAATGTGTACACTTGGTATGCAACATGGGTGTGTTCTCCCAAGAAACACATTTTAAATAAGTGGTATCCAAAATAAATGGCTTTAATAAGGCATGTGGTGATCAGTATTCCATATCTATCTTTTAAATCAATGAATTAAAAAATCTACATACTTTGAGCATATTTCGGCCCTTCTATTGGGTTGTCAGAAAAGTCATGATGTATTTTTTCTATGTTTTTTGTTGCAAAAATGCATCATGACTTTTCCGACCACCCAATAATGAATAATATTTTCTGTTGATCTTAGCACGTTTTGTTTCAAGTGTTGCACTTAAAATTGATTATTTTAATAGTTCTGGGTAGAAAACAAAATGGACCACTTACTACTTTTGTTCAAGCCCTTCATAACTGTCTCCTGAGGCTGACAAGTAATATTATCCTATTTCAGCTGAATCTTGTACATGACTGAGGTAGAAATGAAGGGGAGAAAGAGAGGAGTTAATGTGTGTGTTTCTTTCCAGCTCTCACATCCTAAGACTTAGCAACACCAGGTGGCCATTTGAAGTGTGCTGTGTCCTGATTCTCCCTTGATGTTCAGAACAGCACAGCCTTCGGTTTTTAACACATTCACTTGTCTCCCAGATGTCTTGACCTCAGTCATGTGCTAAACATCACAAAGCAAGTTACCAGGATTGGAGAATTGAGTTAATATGTGCACATAATTTGGTTGGGCAAAATGCCCCTTTCAAGGTGTGTGTCAAAAACAGAGCTTGGGATTTGAGGAAAGAGAATCAGTCATTGAGAAGGATAGATAAGATAGTAGAATAAAATCTTGAGGGAGATACATATTGTATGGGTAGCACCTGCTATCCATATTAATTAAATGTAATCAGAAAGGGAAATAAAATTAAGAAGTCTTTGTTTCCAATCCATTATATAGAAGGTAGTCCATGGGATTATTGAGAGAACATGGTGCAGTCTAGTCCTTTTATATTCCATTCATATCAAACCAGCTTAAAAGAAACACATATTTGAGGTTCATTTATTCATATTCAAATAAACTTGTAGCAAGCACATTGGGCTAGTTGAAGCAATTTTACTTGTTCTGTCACATCATGCAACAGATGAAGGCTATAATTAAGTTTTACTTGAACTGTTGGGAGGCAATATATTGCCCCCAAGGGTATAAAGGTTCCTGTCTAGAAAGGCTTCCTCACAAACTGGCATGTTCTGCAAACCCAGAGACAGCTAAAGGCCTCAAACTCTGCTTAGCCAAATAAAGAGGAGGTACAGTGATTTCTTGAATAAAACACGGTACAGTCATGAGTTAAACCCTTAAACAGTTAGGTAGCCCAGTTAGGCTATAAACTGAACCCTCAAATGAATGTGTGGCAAAGGGATTTGTTTGCCTGAACTTTTGGAAGGTGATGGGATTCTAAAATACCCCAAATTCAAATTGTCTGCGTTTTCTTTTCCTGAATCAGATCCTAAAACCTAATGTAAACCAGACCATAAAAACATGTCACACCTCAAAGGCCCTGGTAACCAGTACCCTCTAATGATTTGGGGATGAGATTGTGAATGTGTGAACTTTCCCTACATAACATGTTCTAGGACTAATTCAGTTAGCTTTAAAACCTGCATAAAAATCTCTGTGTGGGTGAATTTTCACTGAATGTATTAAAATGCACTGAAAATGATCCTCTCAAGAAATCCTATGCAGAAGCCTAGACAATTTCTGAACGTCTTTTACAAGGCCAGCACTCTAAGCCCTGAACTATGGGGCTAAACCTCTTTTAAATGCTCCTGTTGGTAGGGGTTGTGGGGAGCATTGTGTTGCAGGGGCTTGTACAGAACCGTGTGTCCGCCCCCCAAGGCAGATGCCCTGGGCCTGGACATAAACACTTGTTTGATTTTCCCCCAGGTGCCATGGGAAGACCTCCGTTATCTCTTTGGTGAGATCATGTATGGGGGCCACATCACAGATGACTGGGATCGCAAACTGTGTCGGGTGTATTTAGAAGAATTCATGAATCCGTCCCTGGTAAGACATTTTTTTTAATTCATTTCACTGAGGAGAAAATTCTGGTGGGAATTTTTTACATTTCGTTATGTAACTCATTCTTAAATGATACTGAGGAGTCTTGGCTTTTTGTAAGTGTATTCTGGCCCACCTTCAAGAGAGTTTGGAAATTTGTTAGAAATGCAGAGTCTTGGGCCCCATCCCAGACCTGTAGAATCAGAATCTGTGTTTTAACGAGACAGCCCAGGGGATATCTGTGCATGTGAGCATGACCAGGTGAAGCACTCTGACACGCCCTGACTCCCGGCATCTTTGGAATAACTGTGTGAGGTATGCAGAACTGATCAGTACCCCATTTTATAGACAAAGAGTCTGAGGTACAGTGATTTGCCGCAGATCACTCAGTTTATCATAGGCAAGAACTCTAGCTGGAAGAGAGATGTATTGATTTCAATTTGTGGACTCTGAAATTAGGGAAAGCTATAGTTTTTCTCTGTCATAAAAGCCATGGAGTCATCTAAATTTCAGTCATTAACTCCCAACGTGCTCAAGAAAAATGTAGTGATTTGAGAACCCAGTTCTTCCTTCTATGAGGAAGGGGAAGCGCACCCCTGTGCTGGAAGTTAAAGAGAGGAGGCACCCCTTGCCCACTTCTCATCTTACCGCCCCTATGTCTGTGTAGACCGAACACCCATGTTCATGACCAAGGCTGTGTTTGCTGGCCAAAGTACTCGGACCTTGTCTTCCACATGAAAGTAGCTGAAAATGGTGGCCACACTTTTCTCATGCTCTCTCTCCCAAAAGGTTTCCAGGTTCGTGGCCATTGCATGATTATTTTTTGGAAACCTAGGGTACCCTACACCATGTCATCTCTACTCCCAGGTGGACAAAACACCAACTGTGTTTAGAGCAGTGCTAATTTTTTATATAGTTTGAACAACCTCCTGTTTATAATTTCTCTGAGGTCTTCATCTCATAAAAGCATAGTTTTGATCACCTCCCCTGAGTCTATTTTGAAGAGTAATGTGATTGTGTATTAGAAAACATGCTGTATTGCAATGTAATATAGAAAATTTGGCAGATTATTCTTTTACTACTTTTAATAATGTTAAACAATTTGGGGGCAATGCAGGAAAAAAAATCCTTTCCTGCCATATAACCATTAAGCGTTTCTTTTGATTGTGAGTCTCTTGGTCTTTCCTTAGTTCTGAATGAGCAGAATTTCACAGGTCAGAAAGACACTTTCAATATGACTAAATTGGAAGTCACTCCTCAGAAGAGGTCTGGGAGCAGGTTACCATGGAGACGGGAAAGATAAACAGTGTTGGAGCGCGACCTTTACAGAGGCTGATTTCTCAGAATGATGGTGGAGGTCAGGGGCAGAGTGAGACGCTCTGCTGATGTTTCCTCTCTGGCTCTGGCCTGAGGATAAGGAGCGAATTACTGTTGCCAAACGAGACAGTCCATTAACCTTCACAAGTCTGAACTCCCATTCAAATAATTGTAAGATAAAGACAGATGATAGAAGCTGAGGGGCGTCCCTGGAGCGTGTGTTAGCCCTTTGGAAATGTCGGTACCCGCCCTGCCCATGCAGATCTCGTGAGGTTTTCAGGATCCAAACACTGCGTTTGCAACCCTGCATCCTCACCGGACAGTGCTACCTGTTCAGCTCACCAAAGGAAGGTAAAGCCCTGAATGACTCGGAGGCAAAGGCTGCAAAACCCCAGTTATTTTGTTCCCATGCAGATGTTTCCTGCTCTTGCTGTTTATGTTATTAGGAACTTGGCCTAACACGTCAGCATCTGCAGGTCCTCCATTTGCCACTTCTCACATTGGTTAATTCATTTGGAAATTAGTATCTTTGGTTGCATTGGAACATGATCAGAAAGCACCCCGTTAATGACTGTGGGGTTTAGCATTCCGCTGCTCTCAGTAAAGGAATTGGAATGCTTTCAATGACATGAGGATGGGGGAGTTTGTTGTTGGATGAATGAGTTTGCACTCAGGCTCCCTGACAGCAATGTGCCTTAGAGGTTCTCTGGCCAAAGTTAGGGATTATTAATGTTATTCTCTCAGGGAAGGTGCGTGCTTGGCAATGCTAAACAAGTAGTGCAGTAAATTACTTTTAGAGAATAAGGTACCTGGTGACCTGAAAGTTCTACATTAAAAATCCATTTTGATAATAATGAGTAACAATGAAGAGGCTGGACTTTGAAGTAAAAAAAAACAACAACAAAAAACTTGGGTTCAAATTCAATTCTTCTTGTATTCGTTGAGTGATTTTAGATACATTGCTGAACCTGAGCCTCAGTTTCATCATCTGCAAAACAAGAGTGGCCCAACTCATGGGTTTGTTGTCAGGTTTAAATATTGGTACAATGTTGGGACAAAATGCTCAATAAATGGGAGACATTTTTATTATGAAGCATAAATGTTCATAGTCTATTTCATACCTGACTTATATTTTATTTAATCTGTGATGATAACAATGGAAACCATTTATTAAATACCTGTTCTCTGCCAGGGGTCAGTACTATGCAGTTCATGTGTATTATTTCTTCCCCTCACTACAGTCCTGCAAAGTAGGCATCCTTCTCCCATGTAATCAAAAAGGAAACCAGAGAGGTCAAACAGTTGCTCAGTAGCAAAGCCAGGATTTGAACTCACAGTTAGACTCCAAAGCTCACAGGTTTTTCTCTGGAGCACACTACGTTGGCTGGAGTACTGATCCCTTTGTAGTAATTGGGGCCAAGTCACCCAAACACTTCCCCATGTCTGTACTGGGCATGGTGGACGGCACAGGGTGACACCAACAGCAACCCTGGACCACCAGAAGCTGGAGTTCTGGTTCTGCCACTAACTTGCTGTTCCTGAGGCACTGTTCCTGTGCCTCAGTTTATTCATTTGTAAATTGAAGGTATTGTCTAGAAATTCAATAATGCACCTGTCAGCTCTAAAGACACCGAAATAATATAATTCAACCTCGGGTAAGTTCTGAAAATCCCTCACAGCACTTTGGGACCATGGCATTTTTTACTCATAAGCCAAGGGCCGTGCACTTGTTTAGACTGACTGGGAGCTTCTTGTCATAACCAAGACTCCTTGGATAGGCCGCAGGGGAGGGGAGTCTTTTATTAAAGACTAGGAAGGAAGCTGTGAAAAGGACAGTAGTCCCATAGAGGCGGCAGAGCGGCAGCATGTGGCTTTCCCAGTTCCTAATCATTGTGCCTGGCACTGACTTCTGCAAAGAAGAGTTCAAGTCCTTGATGATTTTTTCATGATGTGGAAGTTCATTCTCCTTGAGCACAATTCCATAGGTTCTTTTTTTATAAATATAGTTTATTGAGATATAATTCACAGTCTCATAAAATTTACCAATTTAAATGGAAGAATCCAAAGATTTTTAGCATAGTCACAGTTGTACAGCCATCACCACAATCTATTTTAGAACATTTTCATCACCCCGGAAAGAAACCCTGTAGAGATTAGCAGTCACCATCCTCTTTTCCCCACCCCCTTTCCCCCAGCCCCAGGCAGCCACTAATGTCTGTCTCTATAGATTTGTCTATTCTGGACATTTCATATAAATGGGATCATATGATAAGTGGCCTTTTGTGTCTGCTATCTTTCAATTAGCATAATGTTTTCAGGGTTCATCCATGTTATAGCTTGTATCAGTACTTCCTTTTTACGGCCAAATAGTATTCCACTGTATGGGCATACTACATTTCGTTTATCCATTCGTCGGTTGATGGACATTTGGATTGTTTCCACTTTTTGGCTATTATGAATAATGCTGCTATGAACATTCATGTACAAGTGTTTGTGTAGACATATATTGTCATTTCCCTTGGGTATACACCTAGGAGTGATCTAGGTAACTCTAGATCAGGTATACCTAGGAGTGATCTAGGTAACTCTAGATGGTAACTCTAGGTTTAACGTTTTAAGGAACTTCCAAATTGTTTTTCCAAAGTGGCTGCACCACTTTATACTCCCACCGGCGATGTGTGAAGGCCCTATTCGCCCCATATCTTGCCAACACTTTCATTGTCCGTGTTTTTTATTTTAGCCATCCTGGTGGGTGTGACGTGGTATCACGTTGCATTTCCCTAAAGACTAGTAATGTTGAGCATCTTTTCCTGAGCTTATTGGCCATGCGTGTATCTTCTTTGGAGAAATGTTTATCCACTGATTCTTTGAGGCATAACAGTGACCTTTTCAAACAGCCCTCCCCCAAACACAAGATAGGTGGCCACAGTTCAGAGAGCTGTACAGCTCTGGCCCCATCAGCAAGCGGCAGGGTTTCATAAAAGCCCTTTAATGGGAAAGGAGAACCGTGGTTCACGTAGCTCCTTGAGTACCTTGAATTCTTTACGGTTTTCTTGAAGGAGAAGGAGCACACAGGTCCCTGGATGAATCAAGCCTTACTTCTCAAACTTTACTTTTTTGACATCATAGTAGGAATTTACAGTCAAACGTTTCCCAGGTTGTCTCTTCCTTTCCAGAAAATCAAGATGTACTTGAAATAATCGTGACTGCTCCTAGGACACAGGGAAAACCAAAAGTAACATTTATAAAAGCCTGCTATGTGCCTAGATGTCTGCATAGCTGGTCCTTACGTTCTCACAGCCACACTCATTAGATTGCTAGTGTGAGCCTCATTTTACTGATAAAGAGATTGAAACTCTGATAACTGTCATTTTTTAAGGTCTCCAAACCACTCAACGATGGGAACTGAGCCAGGTCGGTCTGGCTGTAAACCTCAAGCCCTTTTCTTTGAGCTTGCTGTTGTTGTTCTTGGCTTTGCTCATTGCTGAGCATATAAAAGGCACTCTTCCCGTGTTTTTAAAGACCGCCTAATTGTCTTTCCAGAAAGCAGGGATCATTTGCAGTCCCACCAACATTATATGAGTAGGCACTCAAATGATCGGTCCCTGCGGCATTTTAACATTTTTAAGTGGTTCCACTTTTTGGTTAATTTCTTTGCTTGAAACTATTTTTATCTCCTTGTTTATATTGAAGGACAATTTCACTGTGGCTCTTAAAATTCCTTCTCTGTTAGTGAGCACTAACAGAGAAGACCCAAGTCCTTGTTTGTAGGGAATAAAGTTTGACTTAGTTATGTTTATTCCAACTTTTGGTTTTATCGTTCATATTTTGTGCCCATATTTTTATTTTGGCTCATTTATCTATCATAGACTAATGCAAGTCTAAATATCCTTCAGTTTTGTTTTGGTCACCCTGAGTGAGGTGAAACTTAAGTTTTGATTATTCTGATACATAAATATGAAGTGATAGGAAAGGTGGATAAATACTTAAACCAAGCTAATAGATACTGGTGGTAAGGTAGTCCAGGTTGCTCTTTCTAATAGTCATTGGGTCAAGATTTTTGTTTGTGGCAATATGAAAGACTGAACTTGAAAATCCTCCCAGTACAAAATTGAAATAGAAATGCTGACTCAGATCTTTCAAATGCCTTTTGGAATTCACAGACAGCAACTGAACATCGTCTCCAAGGGCATAGACTATCTAGGAAATCTGGGATTGCAGGTTTGAGAAGGAAGGAGTAACCTGCCATTACTCACCGGTGACATGATTGTATAGAAAGTCACTTATTTTGCCCCCATTAGACTGAGAGTTCCTTAAGAACTAGGTCATATGAATCTTTTATACTTCCAAGGCTTGTGTGGGCATATTAAGTGATCAATACATATTATTGAATAAGAAATTGTGAATATTCGCTTTGTCTCTGGGCAATAGTGAAGGGACCAGATAGCATAACATGGAGTTATAGAGAAAAACCCCTTTTCAAAAAATGATTTAGGAAATCTTGGCATAAAATAGCTACATTAGGTAATAGTTTTTTAAAAAAGTAATATCCCCTCCCTATACATTTAAAACTGCATATACCAGGGGTGCCAAAAAAATGTAGACAAGTGGACACTTTGGTCAGCGTTGCTCAAGCAGTAGTTCTTCGTAATCAGAAGTGTCTGGATGCTGATGGTACCACTTTGAGCACCTCTTGTAATTGCAGAAGCCAAACGTGACTTGTATTCATCTTTTGTTATCAGTATATATTGAGTACTACAATTTTAATACAGTTTTTCCTTTCTTAAAATGTGTTTACATTCTTTGGCACCCTTTTAGACAGAATTTATAGCAAGAGAGACTGGGAAAATTATAACAGGTGTAATGGCCCCTGGGAACTAAAGAACAAGCAGAAAACAAAAATCTGAAATTATGCTGAGTGAACTAGAAAATTATAAGCACTTGATTGGCAGTCTGTGTTTATTATGGCTGGTCAGAGATTCAGGCCCATAAATGCTTTTGCTACATTGTGAAGAGCTACATTCTAATATTAATCTTTAGGTTTGGTATTGCTCCTCACGCTGCCCTTAAGAACATTCCTCCACGTGGAATGTCTACCCTCTACCCCAGTCTAATGAAGTGGGTGGACATGAGAAATGCCTTATGACTCCAGCCTTCCATTCGTTAGGCAACTCTGTGCTGAGCACCAGTTATGTGCCAGCAACCGTCCCAGGATCTATGGATCTGAGGTGAACAACACAGATTTCTGCCCTGAGTAGCTCAAGGTCATGCGGAGGTAGCATTGAATTAACTCTTACTTTATACTGCCTTATAAAATGTTATCTATACACACACACTTACACATATTTTCCAATATATGCACATATAACTGTTTATAAAATTCATATGTAACGTATGTAAAATAATTTGAAGCAGTACTGTGGAGAGGATGTACACTGGGAAAGCACAGGCTATCGAGTCAGACTAAAATGAGCTCGGAATTAAGATCTCCCTAGAGGCAAGTTACACTGAGTCTTGATTTCTCTCTGCAAAATGGGGATGTGTGGGAGAATCAATGACTGGAAGCATGTGACAGGGTGACCACTACACAGTAGATGGTTGAGCACCCGTTCGTCCCCCGCGTCTGCATGTGTCATATTGCCCGAAGCAAGCTGCACACTAAGTCTCCGTAGGGATAAGCTTCATGTGTTCCTTGCACTCGTCCCAAGTCAGCCTGGTGCCCTACACACAGCCGAATGATCAATCATGAAAGGGCCATGGAACACTGCAGAGAGCCAGCCCTCTGTACAGCATTGTGCCGGTACCTGCTTACCAGCGAGCTCTCATCACGTTTAGGAAGCAAAGATCAATGCCCATTTCGTTGGGAATAACCAACTTTTCCTTTTGGGTTGAAGATTGAAGATGAGCTTATGCTGGCACCGGGATTCGCAGCCCCACCTAATCTAGATTACCCAGGCTACCACCAGTACGTAGAGGAGATGCTTCCGCCGGAAAGCCCAGCGCTGTATGGCCTCCATCCAAACGCTGAAATCGAATTCCTGATGGTGACATCCAACACTCTCTTCAGAACTTTGCTGGAGATGCAGCCCAGGAATGTACTCGTCAGTGACGAGCTGGGGCAGTCCACAGAAGATAAGGTAGAGGGTCTTCCTTTTCTTCTCTACTGAGGTATACATATATACAGTGCAAGGTGCTCATCTTAAGCGGACGACAGAGTGAATTTTTACCTTTGTATACACCCATATACCCACCACCCAGATCAAAATACAGCACATCTCCAATACTCCGGAAGGTAACTCATGCCCTTTACCGGCCAATGAACCCCTCCCGCTCCAGCCCACAGGTAACTGCTCTTCTTACTTCTATCACCATGATGAGTTTTGCCTGTGTTTGAACTTCAAATACATGTAGTCGTACAGGATGTACTCATGTATGTCTAGCTCTTCCCATTCCACGTTACATCTGGGATTCATCCTTGTTGTACATGGACCAACGGTTCATTTTAACATTCTACTATATGAATATACAATTCTTTATTCCTTGATAGATGGACATTTGGGTTGTTTCTGTTCACCATTATGAATATCACAGCCATGAACATTCTTGTACGGTCTTTTGTCAATAGACAAAGCTAACTCCCAAAGGTATCCACTCATTATACTCATGAGCGGAATTGCTGGATCAAAGGGTTTGTTTAGCTTTTGTAGATACTCGCTAACAGCTCCCTGAAGGGCTTCTGCCAGCTTCACTCCCCACCACAGTGTGAAAGTTTTCTCTCTAGCTCTCCTGTGGTTTTGTTAGGGGTAATGATATTTCATTGTGGCTTTAATTTTGCATTCCTCAGTGCAGGGATAATAATGTTTGAGGATCTTTTCATATGTTTATGGCCATTTGGATATACTGTCATGTAAAGTACCTGTTCCGGTTACTTTTACTTTCCCATTTTTCTAATTGGGTTTTCAATGTTTTTCTTATGGATTTGTAAGGACTCTTTATGTTATGTGTATGTCCTTTGTCAGATACATATATTGCAAATATCTTCTCCAAATCTGGCTTGCCTTTCACTCTCAATGTGTTTTTGGCTCTGTCTTTTTTACATTGTCTTGGGAGACTGGCATTTTATTCTTTTGAAAGTATTTATTGCTCTAGAATCAGGGGTCGGCAAACTGTGGCTCGCGAGCCACATGCAGTTCTTTTGTATGTTCTGTCTCAAAAGTTTGCCGACCCCTAGAAAAGGCAATCCTGTCTCTCACAACAATTTAAAAATTATTCGAGAGCCATAAATATACTTTTACATAATCACCATTATGTGAATAATATTCTTGAAACATTTTGTAAATGAAACCATGATAGTTTTATTTTCATTTTCAATTTTACTTCAGAGCCTGTGGCTTGCAAGCTGCAGTTTGCTGACCCCTGGCGGTTCTTCCATCTCAAAAGTTTGCTGACCCCTGTCTAGAATGATGGGGATGAGAAATGGACATCAAATATATATTTTTTTACATTTAGGTTGAAATCTTGTTTCTCGTTAATTTAAAACCTGAATAGTTTATGTTCCCCAAAATAAATTAACCCCTTATTCTTCTCTCAAAATTGTTTAACATGATTTGATTGACAAGGAGTCAGGCTGTTGGAAGACACTAACCATTAGATCTAATTATAATGAGGTCCCAGGACTTTTCCATATTAATTCTTGAAACATTTCAATTATTTCTTGAAATGAGGTCATTTGTTGAGATACTTGTTTGTAATTTAGAAGCTTTAGAATTGTTGTACGGTGTTTTATCCTATCACCTTCCTTACGTGAATGTTAGATTAAAAAAAAAAAAAGATGAACAAGGAAAAAAATCCGTCCATTTGGGGAAAGCTACAGTGTTAATAGAAGCAGAGAGATGGATGAGGCCTTCATCTAGTTTTGGGGTTTCAATCTTTCCAATAAGAAAGCTGATCATTAAACCAAAAAATGCAGAGCAAATGAGGTAAAGATGCCTCAGCACCCCAGAGAGGCAAACAGATTTTAGCAACGACCTTCTAGCAGGTGCTTAATATATGCTAGGCGCTAAAGAAAGTGCTTTACAAATGTGTGTTTAATCCTCAATAGCTCTGAGTAGTATCACGATCCCTATTTCAGGGAAAAGCTTAAGTAACGGACCAAGGCCAGACCCCTAGAAAAAGCCAGTGAAGGAAACCAAATTCTAGCTGATTCAAAAACCCTTCTTTCACCTAACTTCTCTGCTGCATTGTGTTTCATACTCTCTACTGCTGCTGTGAAGGAATTTAAGATTTCAGGACCTGACACGTTACCTGCCGGGGGTGCTAAACCTACTTGCAAGCATGATGTCAGAACCACAGGCAGTAACCGGAGAGATTGAGGAAAGGGAATGATGCCTGAGGCTGAAGACAGGCAATATTTTTCAATCTTTTGTCCATTTTTGGTGTTTGTTTGCTTTCCCCAGCTCAGTACAACTGCTTAGAAAGAATAAATATGCACATCGGAGTACCATGTACATATTCATGTCTCCAGTGTATAAATCTATATTTTCTCCAGGGCAACAATTATGGAAGACAGGCTTGCTTGTTTTTGAAAATGTCGATCTAAATTGCTCCCAGAATTTTAGGAGATGTCAGCTGTGAGGGCAGCATTGGTCATCAGAATCAGGTCAAACTTAAAGGCATCTTTGGTTCATGGGATTTTTCATATGATTTTTTTTTAATTAGCAGATTATAAAATAGAATACCCAAATGTTGGGGCTCTACTTTCCTTTTTCCTGAAAGGAAAAAACTGTATTAAAATTGTAATACTCAATATATACTGATAACTAAAGATGAATACAAGTCACATTTGACTTCTGCAATTACAAGAGGTGCTCACAGTGGTTACTATCAGTGTAATTTTAATACAATTTTTCCCTTTAAACTGTGTATACATTTTTTGGGCACCCTCTGTATGTATTAATATATGTCACTGTGAGCAAAAATGAAATAGAAAGGAGCTAAATCTTTGTGTGCTAATGATTTAAGGTTAAGAATGTCTTGGATGACATTTTGGAGAGACTTCCTGAAGAGTTCAACATGGCAGAGATCATGCAAAAAAACACAAATAGAAGCCCCTATATTCTTGTTTGCTTCCAAGAATGTGAGAGGATGAATATTCTCCTGCAGGAAATCCGTGTGTCACTTCAACAATTAGACCTTGGTTTGAAGGTAAGTTTAAAAGTGGGGCTAGAGCAGGCTGCACAACATCGGATGACATTTACTACGTGGCCTTCCTTCTCCGTGCAAGGGGGAGCTGACCTTATCTTCTGATGTGGAAGCCCAGCAGTCCGCACTGAGTTACGACATGGTACCAGCCACGTGGAGCAAACTGGCTTATCCATCTACTTACGGCCTGGCCCAGTGGTAAGCGACTCCATCCTCACCCCCGCTGTCCTTTATTGGCCTTGGTGCTGATGCAGTGTTCTGAATTATTATTCAGCCCCATAAAAACTATCAAGATTGTGCTTTGTGACTGTATTCAGTAAGTGTGCAAACTACCACCCGTTTCACTTGAGTTTCCTTAGTGTATTGCTTTGAAAGCAAAAATCAGTTAAAAGTCAGGGTCAGAGCAAAATTCAAATTCTGCCTCTTAACTTATTAGCTATTTGATCTTGGACAAAATACCTGACCTAATTTCTCAGTCTGTCATCTGAAAAATGTAGTTAATAGCATTCCCTCATTGAGTTGTTATGATTTAAATGGTTGTGGGTGGCAATTTGAGTTTGCTGTCATGTCATCTTATACGCTCATTTTCTTTTTTGCTCCTTTTATTAAATTTTTAAAAATATTTTTAAGTAAAAGAGAATTTATTGGCTTATATGACTGAAAAATCCACAGGTACTGCCAGCTTCAGGCTTTGCTTGATCCAGGAGCTTAAGTATTCAGCACCTGGCCGCTCTCCATCACTCGGCTGTTTCTCTCCATGTTGTTTAATTTTTTTTTTCTTTTCAGTTAGAGTCAACATTCAATATTATATTGGTTTCATGTGTACAACATAGTGGTTAGACATTTATATAACATATGAAGTGATACCCCCAATGTCTGTACCCACCTGACACCAAATATAGTTATTACAATATTATTGACTGTGTTCCCTATGCTATACTTGACATTCCCGTGACCATTTTGAAACTGCGAATTTGTACTTCTTAATCCCTTCACTTTTTTCGCCCAGCCCCCCAATGCCTCTCCCATTGGGCAACTATCAGTTTGTTCTCTGTATCTATGAGTTTGTTTCTGTTTTGTTTTTTAGATTCCATACATAAGTCAAATCATATGGTATTTGTCTTTCCCTATCTGATTTGTTTTGCTTAGTATAATACCCTCTAGGTCCATCCATATTGTTGCACATGGTATGATTTCATTCCTTTTTATAGCCGAGTAATACTCCATTGTATATATGTACCACCTCTTCTTTATCCTTTGTCTTTTGATTGGAGCATTTAATCCATTTACATTTAAAGTAATTATTGATAAGTATGTCCTTACTGCCATTTTATTGTTTTCATTCTGTTCCTTATTCTCTTACTTTCATGTGTTGATGACTTTTTGTAGTGTTGTTTGGATTCCTTTCTCTTTATTTCTTGTGTATCTCTTGTAGATTTTTGGTTTGTGGTCACCATGTGCTTTACATATACCAGCCTATGTTTATACCAGTCTGTTTTAAGTTGATGGTCATGTAAGTTCAAACACATTCAAATATCACTACTATTTTCACTCACCCCCTCCACATTTGTGTTTTTGTCATTTTTTATTTTTGTGTCTTTGAGTATCCCTTAATTTACTGTTGTAATTATACATGATCTTCCTACTTTTGCCTTTTAACCTTTGTACTAGCTTTAGTGTTGCTCAGTCTACTGCTTTTATTGTGTTTGTCTTTGTCAGTAAGAATATTTTTCTTTGCCTTATTTTCTTATGCATATTTTTAATTTTTTTCCTTCTTCTTTAAAGAAGTCCCTTTAATATTCCTCGTAATACTGGTTTGGTAGTGATGAACTCCTTTAGCTTTTTCTTGTCTGGGAAACTCTTAAACTTGCCTTCTATTCTAAATGATCGTTTGCTGGGCAGAGTAACCCTAGTTGTAGGTCCTTGCTTTGCATCACTTTGAATATTTTGTGCCAATCCTTTCTGTCAGGCAGTTTCTGTTGAGAAATAGCTGACAGTCTTACGGGTGCCCCCTTGTAGGTAACTAACTGCTTTTCTCTTGCTGCTTTTAAAATTGTCTTTAACCTTTGGCATTTTAATTATGATGTATCTCAGGGCAGGCCTCTTTGGGTTCATCTTGTTTGGGACTCTCTGCACTTCCTGAGCTTGTATGTCTATTTTCTTCATAAGGTTAGGGAAGTTTCCAGTCATTATTTCTTCAAATAGGTTTTCAATCCCTTGCTCTGTCTCTTCTCCTGGTACTTCTAGGATGTAAATGTTGTTATGCTTGAGGTTGTCCCAGTGACCCCTTAAACTATCTTCATTTTTTTAATTCTTTTGACTGTTCTGATTCGGTGTTTTCTGCTATCTTGTCTTCCAAATCGCTGATTCAATCCTCTCCTTCATCTAATCTGTTCTTGATTTCATTGAATGTATTCTTCATTCAGTTATTGTGTTCACTTGTGTTTTGTTTTCTATTTCTTTTTTTATATCCTACCTCTTGGTTGAAGTTCTCATTGAGATCATTGAGCATCATCATAACCAGTGTTTTGAACTCTGCATCTGGTAGATTGCTTGTCTCCATTTTGTTTAATCCTTTTTTTTTAGTTTTATGCTGACTTTGATTTGGGACATGTTTGTCTCCTCATTTTTGCTGCCTCCCTATTAGGTAGATCTGCTACGTCTCCGTCTTGGTAGAGTTGCCTTATGTAGTAGGTGTTCTGTGGGACCCAGTGGCACAGTCTTCCTGGTCACCTGAGGTGCTCTAGGGTTGTCTTTTGTGCGGTTTGTGTGTGTTCTGTTGTAGTTTAGCCTTGATTGCTTTTGGCACATCTGTGGGTGGAACTGACCTTCAGGCTAACGCACTATGTGGACTGGCTATGGCTGCTAAGGAGAAGCTGTTGTGCAGGGGCTGACCCCATCGAGTGGGGTGTTCACTTGAGCATGGCTCTGGTGCCTGCCAAGTCCACCTTTGGGTGTGTCACTTGTGGTACTAATTGGGTAGTGCACTGAAGCCACCCACCAGGTGTGTTGGTTCTGGGGCCTCTTGGGAGGTACTCCAGTGCAGACTAAGATAAGCTGCTGCCTGTGTCTAGCCCAGGGCCACCTGGTAGGAGCTACTAAGTGATCTGTAGTTGGTAGCTGCCCGTGCTGGGATTGGACACACCTGGGAGTGGTTTTGCTTTGAACCAGGGCCAGCTGTTATTAATGCTGGGATTGGGGCAGCTTATCAAGAGGTACAGGGTATGCTAAAGCCAGCTGCTGCTTGTCTGCGGTTTGTGGACCTTTCAGAGATTTTTAGCAAAGTCCTCAGTGTGGACCCAGGCCAGCACTTGCATTAGATTAACATCTGAAAGGTTCTAATTGGGCTCCTGAATTGGGAAGGTCAGGTCTGAGAGAATCACCAGGTGGGGCAGGTTAGTGGAGATGCGGATTTGGAGTCTTCCTGCACCTGCTGGCTGTGTGGCGGGGCGGTCACTTTAGTCCTGGAGAGAGCTGCCCCTCCAGCCTTCACCCTGAAACTAGTTAATTCAGCTCCTGCCCTGTATGGCACTTTTCCAGCTGCTGTCTTTTCTATGGAGCTTAGGGCAAGTTGTTTGTGAGCGAGTGATTGTGTGTGCAGGTCCTTTAAGAGGACGCCTAGGTCTCCAGCAGCCCGTCTTACCCAGACAGAATCCCTGATGATTTTCACAGCAATGTCATGGGGACTCCTCTTCCCAGCACTGGGACCCCTCACTCCTCAGGGGGGACCTCCGCAGCCAAGATGCCCCTCCCAATTCTTAACCACCATATGTGGGTGTGGGACCAGCCTGTTTCTCGTGTCTGCCACTTCTACCAGTCTCAGCCTGGCTTATGTCTTTATAGTTCTGTTCAGCTACCTTTCGGGTGGTGGTTCCTATAACTTAGTTTTAATTTGGATGGGGTTGTGGGAGGAGGGGAGTGCAGTGGTTTATTACTCTGCCATCTTAACTGGAGTTCTCTATTCCCTCATTTTCAAAGCCAGTGATTACTAATGCCATCTCAGGACTTTTTCAAAATGTGTAGCTTGGTATGCAGTAAATCAAGACTGTCAGCGTGTGGGTGTGACTGCACAGATGTGTCACAAAGCCAGGGACAGAAATTCACAGTTCTCGGGGGGCCAGTGTTCTTTCCAGCAGTCCCGTGGCCTTGGTAGTCAATACAAAACATTTCGTAATGTTCTCTCTATTCCTGTCTTTTTAGTAGAGAGATTCTTTGTCCTGGCTTTCCTGAGTCTGTCTTCCATGAGCCAGAATGCTACTCTGAGCCTTAAAACTGGGAAGTCCCACTAGAATTCCAAATGACTGCACATGGAAACTGCCCCCCAGGCACCTAGTGTTGGCCGTGTGGGATGTGTGCCAACACAGGTGTGATAGGTGCTGTGCGGAAATGCCACAGATGACAGCAAAGACCGCAGCAGGGAAGGGGAGCAGAGCCTCACTGGATATGTTAATGCTATGAATACCCCAAATCAAACATTGTTATCTCCAATCAAAAAGTTATACTTACAGTTAAACTTTATATGGTAACTTTGGACTCATTTCCACCATCTTATTTTGTGCTAATTTCTGTTTCTTCCCCCCCCCCCCCAACCTTTTCTGACTTTGGTTGGTTTACTAGTTTTATTTATTCCATGTTTATCCCTGGACAGTTCCTATTATTTCAGTGGAGACACTTTGTAACACACATACTTTTGACTTTTCCAACACAGGGTAAAGTCCACACTTTTTCCTGTAGACATTTTAACCCCTTTCTGAACATCAGCCTCCTCTGGTCTGGAACTGTAGATCAACTGTATTTTAAACCACAGTATTTTGTTTTGTTTAGTCAGTAATTATTTTGGCTTTAACAACACACATTGCTTTCTCGTTGTTGCTTTTTGCATCTCATTCTGGGCTCCTTTGCTCTGGGCCCCCTTTTCTTTTCACAAAAGGATGAAATATACAACAGGGCTTTCGGGGAATGTGGTGGGGAATAAATGGTTTTGTTTTTTGTTTTTTTCTGTGTGTGAATTCTCTTCACAATGCTCTTGCTCTTAATAGTTGACCTGTATGTAGAATTCTAGGATACAATTATTTTCTCTCAGAATTTCAATGTCATAACTCCATCGACTTCTGGCATTTATAATAGCTGAGTCTGTTCTTAAATATACTTGTCATTTCTTCACAACTTATCTATTCTCTCTGGGAAGTTAAGATTTTTCTCTTTACACTTGATGGCCTACAATGTACTGCCGTATTTAGGTGTGGATTTTTAAAAATATATTCTACTTGGTACCTTATGCTGAGCCTGTTTGTAGCTTCCACTCTGAAAAATTATTTCTCCAACTACTGCTTTCCCCCTTCTCTTCATTCTATTTACCTACCTGAACTCGCACATATTCAATGTGTGTCTATTCTGATTTTGTCAGCTCTGGGTGATCTCTCAAGATATCTTTAGTTGTCTCTGGTCCATTTCTCCTCTTAATTTTTAAAATTTTTCATTGTCAAAAATCAGTTTTCAGTTCCAAGTTGTTTCTAGTTGGGGGAGGAGGTACCTGGCCTAGTTTCTTAAGCTCCTGTTTTTGGTTTTATGACTATTATTTTCTTTCCCTGGAGTTTAAACATACTTATTCAATCTTTTTTTTCAGATTCCTTATTTCGTGATTTATCAACTTTACTGTTTGTTGGATTTGCTGCTGCTTTACATGCCATATAATCAGGTGTCTATATACTCAAATGACAATTGGCTCATTAAAGGAATACTAACCCCTACATGGTTGGTGGGCTTTGTCGGCATCACTCTACTCTGATCAAATGCTGCTATACAGAGGCATCTGAGACTGACATTTCTTTCCCTTTATGATACTTCATGTTTTTGCTGACTAGAGGATTCTCTCAGCTTCACAGTCTGGACTAAGATGCATATTAGTATTGAACCTGGATTATACAGGTTCCAACCTGTAATTTGGGAAAACTCAAATTTTTTTTAGAATTGTTATTAGTAAAAATGTGTTGTTTCATTTCAGCTTTCCTTATTTTCACTCTCCATCTTTATTTCCATTTGCTTTTCTTAGTATTCTACCTTATGCTACTTTTGCTTACATTTCTCTTTTCTGCTTCTGAGGACTTTCAACTTTTTCTTAACCTGATGACTTCTAAACTATCTTGTTTATACAAGCAGTCACTTCATTTTTAAAAAAACTTGCTGCAAATTGGGTGCAATGGTTCTCTTCTTGTGCAACACTTTGAGTCTTTCTACCCTGGCTTCTCCTGCTCTTTACCTGTTTTCTGTTATCTATCTTTAGGTTTTCCCTACACCAGTGGTTTGCAACATGGGGCCGGGGCACAGGGACACGTTCTAAGCCGGCAGAAACTTTTCTTGTGGTAACCCAAGTTTGAACACGAATATTTATTTGCAGCCTTTCCTCCTTCACAGCCCAGGCACAGGCAGATGTTTCCTGCAGAGGTGCTTTGTGGGGTTGATTCTTCAATCACCCCGTCTTCTTAGGCAGCTCTGAACCAAACCAGATCCCAGAAAACTTGAGGGCTAGTCCAAGTGGGCCTCACTCTGGAGAACTGTTTGGCTGGCTTTTGTGTTCGGCTCTCCTTCCCGGGCTCCATCTTATACCCCTGGCTCCATTTCCCGTTTTTAGCACCTCATAAACCTACAGTTCCATGTCTCACATGTCTCCTACTTTTATCAAAGTTCACTTTTCTCAGCTTCTGTGAGTCGGCTTCCTCATAGGAAAATTGCAGGTTCTTTGCAAAATGGTTGTGCCGATGAGAGAACCTGTGTAAGAACGAGTTTCTCAAACCACAGGCACACAATGGATAAAATAGCCTTATGCTAACCTTTCCTGCTTTCAGGTAATTATCACACGTGGGAACACTATTGTCATATGCTCTCCCACCCCTGCCTTTCCCGGCAACACTGGTTGAGGGACAATCATAGCAGCCTTCCCCTCCATGTCCTAGACACACACGTTTCCTGTGCGTTCAGCACCCTGTACATACCTCCATGTCGGCATTTGTCAGCCCAGATCATACACAGATCACCTGTGTAGTCATCACATAGCTCCAGGAGTATCTAAACCTTAGTTATAAAAATGGAGACAAATTTTCCATATTACCCAGTGTTTCTTGTCCCCTAATGGTAATAGCTGTTGAGATATTTAAAAAAAAATCTTTACAGGAAAAAAATCTAGCCCTTTAAATTAAGGACATCTGCAAATCATACAGGTCATTAGTAGTCACCTCTCTACTACCACCCCTCCCCAGAATCTACTTAATCTTATTGGGAAACTTCCACATTACTAAAAAGCAAGTTTATTTCTTCTTACCTTCTGTTAACCAGGTTTAATGACCTCCTCTTACGATGCCGAGAACTGGATACTTGGACACATGACCTCGCCCTTCCGGCTGTGGTGTGGCTTTCTGGTTTCTTCAACCCCCAGTCCTTCTTAACTGGTGAGGCCCGAGACCGAGCAGCCCGATGCGGGCAGAACCACANGGAATTCAAAATGGTGGGCTGCAGAGGAACCCAATTTTAGGAGACACTGTTGAAGAACTTCACAGGAGATATCCCCCAGACTGGCTTTATTTACTTATCATAATCATCACCTACCTAACCCACCTCTCTTGACCATGGATATGGAGTAGCTTACCACGAAAGGACTAAAGTAGGGAAACAGCAAACTGTAAAAATACCAGTGGACACACAGACCTGAAGGCAAGAACACAGGGCCTGCAACCCCCGCGGTGGCTGTTTCATCTTTGGCTACAAGACCAGTAGGCACCCAGGGATAGTAGTCTCCCCTTATCTGCAGAAGTGGTCTCCCCAGTTTTCACAGGGCAAGAGCTTGGGTAGGGAGGCAACAGGGCTTTCCTCACTGCATTTTAAAATAAAATTTTCAGGGGGACCTACCCTGAACTATGAGTGATATCAGAGTCAACGTACTATCTCACAATTCATACCCTAAGTTTAAAGATTGTGAGGGTTTGGAAAACAAAACAGAATTTGGGGTAATTTACTTTCCCGTGCTGAACACGCAAATTCTTACAATCACCAGACATCACTTAGCTAAAGAACAGAAGATATAAATAAGTCGAGAAGAGTAGGTGATACCCATCAGGGTTTAGAAGGATCTCAGTGTCTCGTTGGCAAGAGACTGGAGACTTGCTGGCCAGACACACGAGCCGCCACACAAACAGTTTCTGGAATCAAAGCTCAGGGAGGGCTGGGGCCTAACAGGTAGGCACAGCTCTGTGTTGCTACTCACGGGGAGGGGAAAAAAACATCACCATCCAACATGGCAGCCGACCAGGAGGGCTTCCAGGCCTTAAGTTACCCCTAGGAAAAGGTGAGGGACAAAGCAAACCTACTAGTCACAGCTTGTTTCAACTTCGACACAGGTTCTACCCAGAAGTGGTTCTTAGGAGCTTCTCAATGTGAAGAAGCTTACCCTCTATCCTCTATCTTGATACCGAATAAAGACGTGGTCTATTGATTTGGGGGGGATGAATGTAGGCTATTTTTCAGTTAGCAGAAAACACTTTTATGCCTCAAAAAAATCCAAAGGCTGTTGTTCTCCAAAGTTACCCTGAGATTCAAATACTAGGCAGCAGTAAACTGGCCTGAGCATATGGAATAACAGGAAGAAGGCAACCAACAAGTCTCTCGATGGCAGAGCACTGAGAGCAGACCTCCTTCAGGAGTCCAGCAGGCCCATGTCGTCTTCATCATGAAGAAACACGTCAGCCTCCATGTCAAGAATGCACAGGGAAAACTCTACGTGTGTACTGCGGCTAAATCTTTGCCAAACGAACTCTAAGCCCAAGAACATTATTTCACATGTTACTTCATGATAGACCTTCCTCTTTTTAGGTAAAAGAGGTTCAAGAAAGTCTGAAATAAATTCTTTGCTAAGGACAGTAAGGCACCCCTGGGTCACATCCCCCAAAACTCCAAGGGCACCAGGGGAAGATGCCTGGGTTTTTTATAGGAGGACAATGAATTGGTGGACCAGGGATTCGCCTTGGAGTAGCAATTTTTATATTCTGTTATCTGGCTTATAAGATAATCATGGCAGGCACAGTAAAACCTTTTCATTTGTGAAGTGACTTCTTACAAGTAAAACTACAATTCAGAAACAGGACTAAAAATATTACAACCCACACTTCCTCGTGCTGATAATTATTACCTTTACTTCTGGGTTACTGTTTACATTCAGATCGCTCTGCGTAAACCCTTCAAAATCTTCCATCTCTGAGTCAGTGTCCTCTATAAAAATTCTTCTTAGCTCTTCTGTGAAGTATTTGGAATGGAAGTGCACATCCTGCTAAATTAAAAACACACATATGCCGCCAAGACAGAAAGAAGAATCGTGGTTACCAGGGACTGGGGGACAATGGGAATTACTGTTTACTGGGTAGAGAGTTTCTGTCTGAGAGGATGACAACATCCTGCAAATGGGTAATGGTGACAGCTGCACGACACTGGGATGTACTTAACACTACTTAGCGTCTTGCTGGCAAGAAACAGGGAGCTTGTCTGTCCTTAGAAGTGATTAAAATGGTCAATTTTATGTTATATATATTTTACCACAATAAACACGCACTAACACATATCTTCTACAGCTCCCAGAAATTTAGACCCATAAATTGAATGATTTCAAAAACTCAGAGCGTCCACAGCCTCAATCAGCTTCTTGTGTGACCCGTGAGTGCTGATGGAATTCAGTTTCTCCTGCCAGGCCTGGCCATCAGGAATGTTTGCTTTCCCCAAGAACCAAAACCACGTGGGCAGAAGGTGTGAGGAAAAACGTGGCCCCCTCCCCCACGCTGGCTTTCCTTTCCAACAGCCACCCAAAGGCCACCTCCCCCAGCCGGTGAGCACTTTCCCGCACTTTCCCGGACGGTAGGGGAGATTTTCATGCCCCTCCTCGCCCACTGCTGAGGTGACTGCAGATGTGCCTTTACCAACCACCTCTGGGGACTGGTGCGAAGCTCCAGCCCTCCGCGACCCCCAGGAGTTCCCAGCTGGTGAGAGGCCAGCAACCATGACGAGACGCAGCAGTGAGCAGAAGGAAAGATGTTGTTATATGACTGACTCTTAACGAGAAGGACATTTCCCAATAATGACACTGTCTTTCCTTTGAACTAACAATAAAAAGAAGGAAACTGGGTTCTCTAAATGGCATGCTTGAAAGAACAGCGAGGGAAAAGACAGACTGGCACTTGAGCAAAGAGACCCACAAACAGCCTCCTCCAAGCTGGCAGCCAGGACTGGAGTCCGTGACATCTCTCCCTCCCACACCCGATGTAGCAG